ACCCCGCCTAAGCTAAGTCAGGGGACTTAGCTTAACTCTTCTCTTAACTAAACGACATTGAATTACAAATTCCCACCCAGGTTACGCAGGATTAAAAAAATCCTGCGTGGTGATCCTAAAAAAGAGGTTGTCCCGATGGTCAGAAAATAACCTGGAGACAACCTCTTTTACTTAGCACTGCTGTCCTTTAGATCAGGGCGCCATCTTCTTCGGCTTTGTATTGTTTTACCTGCTCCAATGCATCGGGTACCACATCGCTGATCACCACGATAAAGGAATCTTTGATAGCAGTCTGGATAGCATAATCTATGGCTTCTGTTTCCCGGCGGAAGGTGGTCACCTTCATTTCAGGAGCAATATTATAAATGCCTTTCGTCATCAGATCAATGATCTCCTGTTCGGTACGTCCCCTCAGGTTTTTGTCCTGCCGGATAATGATCTCATCAAAGATGCGGGCACTTTCCTCGCCCAGTGCAACCAGGTCTTCGTCACGGCGGTCACCTACACCGGCAATCACACCTACTTTCAACGGTGCGTCTACCGAGTGGATCATCTTACCCAATGCCTGCAGTCCATGAGTATTATGCGCATAGTCCAGCATCACGGAGAAATTCTTGAAGCGGAACAGGTTCATACGGCCCGGTGTCTGGGCGGCACCTGGTACAAAGGTCTGTAAGGCCTGGCGAATATCTTCTATCTTAAACTCCTGTACATACGCAGCTAACGTTGCAGCCAGTGCATTGGCCACATTAAATTCTGCCATGCCGGAAAAAGTGATCGGCACATTAGTTACTTTCTCCACCCTTATTTTCCAGGCGCCTTTTTTAATGGTTAAGTAGCCATGTTCATAAATAGCGGCCACACCTCCTTTGGCGCAGTGTGCAATGATCCTTGGATTATCTTCATGCAGCGAGAAAAAGGCGATCCTGCAATCCAGGTCTTTATGCATTTCATACACCAGGTCGTCATCCGCATTCAGCACTGCATATCCCTTGCGCAATACGGTATGTGCGGCGATGGCCTTTACCTTGGCCAGTTTTTCCAGGGTATCAATGCCACCAAGCCCCAGGTGATCTTCGGCCACATTGGTCACTACGGCCACGTCGCAGTTATGAAAGCCAAGACCAGCACGGAGCAGTCCGCCGCGTGCGCACTCGAGCACCGCATAATCAACCGTAGGGTCACGTAATACAAACTCTGCGCTCACCGGCCCGGTACAGTCGCCACGCATCATCATCTGGTTCTGGATGTACACGCCATCCGTTGTTGTATAGCCTACCTTATGTCCCATCTGTTTTACGATATGGGCAATGAGGCGTGTGGTTGTTGTCTTGCCATTGGTGCCGGATACGGCAATGATGGGTATTCTTGCGCTTGTACCCGGCGGATACAACATATCGATCACCGGCTCGGCCACGTTACGCGGTAAGCCTACGGTAGGATCC